TTTTGGTGTCAAAGCGCATGCGTTCACAACATCTGATCCACTGGTGAGACATTGTTTTGAGTGTCAATTGAAGTCATTATCACTTCAGTTGATCCATGCCTTCAATTCGATGTCTTTCTGATTATCACAACTTCGCTAAACAGTAAATATGTGGCCAAACAGTCGGCCATACCTTACAAATGCGGTCAAACCGGCGCAACCATCACATGCATCACATCCACCGCAACGGCCTCTGCAGCCAAACGCGCAGACAATGGCATCGGTGGACACGAGTCAGCTCTATATGACAGCCAACTCTTTGCGTACGTTCTTCGGCGACAATATGGGGGCCAACGGACGCCAATCCAGTGAGTGATCCATTGTTTGATTCATTGCATTGTCTGTAATATCTTTGTGTGACCGCAAAGTGGTGGCCAATCACTCGGACATGGGTTCGTCACAAATGTCTCAAAGACCTCCTGAGCGACGGCTCATTGACTACGACTCTAATCCACACTTCTCTCGATTGGATCGAAACCTATTGAACCAAATGCCACACAATTGCGGCAAAACTGATCCGCCACTGATCCCCGGTTTGTGGCATCGCTTACATCGTCTCACACTTTGTCTGCAATTGTCTTAATTGTCTTAAACAGAGAACCGATTCTACGATCCAAACAAAATGCCGCAGAAGTCTATACTTAAGAAAAGTAAGGATCAGTTATATGTAGAAAACACGACATTCCGTACCATTGAAGACGAGGATCTCTTTATCTACGGCTCGAGCTCTGCATCGGATGTGCAGTCGGGAGGACTTCCGGCGGGGATTGTGTCGATGGAACCGATGACTCCTATGGCCGTTGAGAGGTCTCTGTCGCCCATATCTCTAAGACTCAAACAAGAGATGGAAAATATGGGTAAAAGTCAGCGCTCTTCAGATCCCATACCAGACACTCGTTGGACACCAAGAGTTGGCGTCAATTCATGTAATGCCTAAAGTTTTTTGGTATTATTTATAACTTTTT